GCCGCTCAACTACACCACGCAGCCCGTCGCGGGGCAGATGGCAGGTGCGAAGCGGATGAGGATTGACGGATGGGAGTGACGGATGGGAGGGACGGATGGGATTGACGGATGGGATTAACTGATGGGATGGGATTGACTGATGGGATTGACGGATGGGAATGTTTGATGGGATTGACGGATGGGATTGACGGATGGGATTGACGGATGAGATTGACGGATGGGATTGATTGATGGGACTGACAGATGTAAACGAGTATAACCTCCTCTGCCTTTTCCCCTCCCATCTCCTCCCACCCTGCCCTTCCGCTCAACCCCTCCCTCACCCACCCCACCCTGCCCTTCCCTCCCCTCTCTCCCCACCTTCTGTCCCCCACCCCCCCACTCCCCACCCCCAACCCCCGCCTCTCTCTCCTTTTCGCTCCCCCCAGCGCTCCAGCTGGCCTCGATGGATCCTATGCCCGTGGCGGTGGTGGGGCCGCGCAACTCAGACCAGGCCGCTTTGGTCAGCCCGCTGGCGTCGTTCGCGCAGGTGGGCAGGGAGGGAGAAAAATGAGGGTCAGGGGGTGCTGTGTGGGGAGAGGGGGGTCAGGGGGTGCTGTGTGGGGAGAGGGGGGTCAGGGGGTGCTGTGGGGGGAGAGGGGGGTCAGGGGGTGCTGTGGGGGGAGAGGGGGGTCAGGGGGTGCTGTGGGGGGAGAGGGGGGTCAGGGGGTGCTGTGGGGGGAGAGGGGGGTCAGGGGGTGCTGTGGGGGGAGAGGGGGGTCAGGGGTGCTGTGGGGGGAGAGGGGGGTCAGGGGGTGCTGTGAGGGTTCCCCCAAATCGGACCAGGCCGCTTTGGTCAGCCCGCCGGCGTCGTTCGCGCAGGTGGGCAGGGACGGATAGATGGGGGCTCAGGTGGGCGGGTAGGCAGACATGGGTGGGAGGGGAGGGGAGGGGAAAAGGCAGAGGAGAGTCTTATTGCATTCACTTGCTGCAACCTGCTAAGTGAACTCCCAACCGCCACCCCACGTCCCCACTGTGTTGCCCCAACCCAGAGCCACTAGCTTTTTGCTCGCTCACTCCCTGACCCGCCGCTTCCACCCCCAACCCGTCGACCCTTTCCAACTCCGTTGTACCCTTTCCCACTCCGCTGTACCCTTCACCACTCCTTTCGTTTCAACCTCCCTCCTTGCTGTCTCCGCCGCCCAGATCCCCTTTGTGTCGCCGTCCGCCACGGACGTGCGGCTGACAGCGGGCGGCGACCGGCCGTACTTCATGCGCACCATTCACAACGACGGCATGGACATGCGCGCCATCGCAGGTAAGACATGGTGGCACACTGGCACGTGCTGTGCAGATGAGATGAGGTGATGTGGTGTGTGCAGCTGATAGTGAGCGGTGAGGCGACCGGCCGTACTTCATGCGCACCATTGCAGGTAAGACATGGTGTCACGTGCTGTGCAGATGAGATGAGGTGATGCGTGTGGCTGATTGCGGCTGTACTGTACTTCATGCGCACCATTCACAACGACGGCATGGACATGCGCGCCATTGCAGGTGATCATTGTAACGGAAGTGACTTTAACAGAAGTGATTGTAGCATCAAGCGAGCAGGTGGTGGTGGTGGTGGTGGTGGTGGTGGTGGTTGTTGGTGGTAGTAGTGCAACTTGCGATGCGGGTGGCATGTTGATGTGGCCTGCAAAGCATGGGGTGACTGACTTATGTAGCCTATAAGCCGGAATATGGTGCACATCTTTGCACGACCCTTCGCTTCCTCTCAAGCGTCCACCTTTGCCCCATTTTCCTGCAGAGTTCCCCTGTGGGACAGAGTTCACCCATTTTTCTAGTGGAACTCTGTCCCATAGAGTTCCCCTGCAGAATTCAACTAGTGGAGCGGGGTGATTGTCATTCATCTGTCCATGACCCTTCTCTTGCTCATCATCCGTCCTCCTCTGCCCTCCTTTACCCCTTTTGCAGAGTTCCTGGCGTTCAACAAGTGGAGTGAGGTGATCGTCATTCACAGCGACAACCGCTTCGGCCGCAATGGCATCGCGTCGCTCAACGGCTATCTCTCTGTACAGGAGGTACTCCCTTTTCCCGCCCCCCCCGTAAACCACTCCAGAACTCTGAGCCGGTCTGACTAATGAAAGATTCACTGTCACAATTTAGAAGCATGTTCCTGCTTAAAGGCAGATTATACTCCCCACCTCCTAATCTTGCGCGTCTGTTGCGGTCTTTCTCCCTTATTCATGTGATTTGTTATTCCCTTTCTCATCATCCCAGGCTGCTGCCGCATGCATCATTCGCTGCTTGTGCTCTTGTTCTCCTCTTCCCAAACTCTGGTTATCTCATCCCAGCAATGGAAGGTCAGGATCGCGACACGTGTGCCGATCAAGACGACATGGTCGGTGGCGGACACAGCAGCAGCGCTGGCGGCGGTGGAGAGGCTGGATCCGGCGGTGTTTGTGGTGCATGCCGCTGCTGCCCTCTGCGCTGTCATCTTCTCTGCTGGTAGGCGCACTGCTACCCTCTGCTGTGCCCAGTTCTTCCTCTGCTGCCCTCTGCTGCTGCTGCTGCTGCTGCTGCTGCTGCTGCTGCTGCTGCTGCTGCTGCTGCTGCTGCTACTGCCCTCTGCTGCTGCTGCCTCTACTCTGTGAGTCGACCCAAAGCACACTCGCTGCTGCCCTCGTGAGTCGACTCAAAGGACAGCAGGCAGCAGCGTTGGCGGCAGTGGAGAGGCTGGATCCGGCGGTCTTTGTGGTGCATGCTGCTGCTGCCCTCTGCGCTGTCATCTTCTCTGCTGGTAGGCGCACTGGTGCTAATGCTGCCCTCTGTTGCTGCAACTGCCTCTGCTGCCCTCTGTTGCTGCTGCTGCCTCTGCTGCCCTCTGCTGCTGCCTCTACTGCTGTGAGTCGATCCCAAACGCACCTGGTGCAGCCCCCGTGAGTCGACTCAAAGGACAGCAGGCAGCAGCGCTGGCGGCGGTGGAGAGGCTGGATCCGGCGGTGTTCGTGGTGCACGCTGCTGCTGCCCTCTGCGCTGTCATCTTCTCTGCTGGTAGGCTGGCTTAGAACTTCAGTCTACGGCTATTCGATCATTCGGTCTATGGCTTTCATAGGACCGACTCACTTCAACGATTAAACACATCCCTTCCTTCCTCCTGCTGCACGTTCCCGCCTGTCTCATGCATGCAGCGAATCGGATGCAGCTGGTGGGGAGGAACTCGGTGTGGGTGGCATGGCATGGCATGGCATAAAAATGGCATCAGATGGGGCGGGTGGGTGGCATGGCATCAGAAGGAGCGGCACTCATAATTACGTGTCACGTTCCCACCTTCCTCCTTCCACGTCCCCCCCTCCTGCCACGGTCCCCGCCTGTCACATCACATGCATGCAGCGAATCAGATGCAGCTGGTGGGGAAGAACTCGGTGTGGGTGGCATCGGAAGGGGGGGCACTTGTCAATTCCACCATGCTGCAGAATGTCGAGGTGCGGCGGGGCGTGGGTTGGGTCTGTCTGAGGCAATGGGGCCTGAGGCAATGGGGCCTGAGGCAGTGGGGCCTGTACAGTGTAGATGCTCTTATTAATCCCCAGCCCGATTTCGCTTCCCCTGGCCGTCTTCAATCCCCTCATGTCCCTCTTTCTCCCCTCACACCCCCCTCTCAACTCACACACACGCTTGTCACTCCCCTCACTCACACCCATCCCCACCAGGGCATGGTCATCACCTCGACCTACCTCCCTATCTCTGCGTCTCACCTCGTACCCCTCTCATTCTTCTCATAGCCCTCTCAACCCACACGCACGTCTCTCACTCCCCTCACACCCATCCATGCCACCACCAGGGCATGGTGATCACCTCGACCTACCTCCCTCCATCGCCGCGTCTCACCTCGCACCCCTCTCATTCTTCTCGTACCCCTCTCAACACATGCACACGCCTGTCACTCCCCTCACACCCATCCGTCCCGCCAGGGCATGGTGATCACGTCGACCTACCTCCCTCCATCGCCGCGTCTCACCTCGTTTCGGGAGAACTGGGCCAATCTGAACCCCATACGCTTCCCCAACGCCAGCAAAGAGGTGAGCTCGTCTCGACGTCTTTTCCAGCAAATAGTGAAAGCCATTTCGTGGGTCCCTTTTTCAGTCAGTCAGTCAGTCAGTCAGTCAGTCAGTCAGTCAGTCAGTCAGTCCTGCACCCTGTCGGCCTGTTACACCTCTTACCCCGCCATCTCTCCTCCCTGCTCTAAGGCATTACCAGGAGCTTCCAGTGGGGAAAGCGAGCTCTCTCAGCTTCAAGCTGCCTTTCTTTCCTTCCCCTCCTCTCCGTTCTCTCCCTCCTCTCCCTCCTCTCCCTCCTCTCCCTCCTCTCCCTCCTCTCCCTCCTCTCCCTCCTCTCCCTCCTCTCCCTATTCTCCCTCCTCTCCCTCCTCTCCCTCCTCTCCCTCGCCTCCCTCCCTTCCCCTCCAGGAGCCCAAGTCGTACACGCTAGCAGCATACGACGCCACGTACCTCATAGCCTGGGGGCTGCACTCGCTGCTCTATGGAAATGGCAGCACTGCCGCCACTGGCAGCACCACCAGCAGCAGCACCACCAGCAGCAGCAGAAGCAGCAGCGGCAGCAGCGGCAGCAGTGGCAGCCTCACACAGTGCAATGCTGACCCTTCATCCCCTTCCCACTCACACATACATCGCCCACACCCGCCTCTATCACCCCCTTCTCAATCACTCCCTTCTCATTCACCCATACATCACCCACACCCGCCGCTATCACCCCCCTCTCACCCACTCCCGCCCCATGCACCCCCGCCTGCCATAACCTCACCCCTCTGGCCGGGAACGGTGCGCGCCCGCGCCGCCGCCGCCGCCGCTGCTGCTGCTGGTGCTGCCAGTGCTGGTGGTGCTGCTGCTGGCGCCTCTGGTGCTGCAGCTGCTGCTGCAGGCACGCAAGGCTCTAATGGTGCGGGTTGCAATGGCGCCACTGGCGCTGGTGATGGTGCTGAGGCTTCGTCTCCCACTCTGCAGACGGACTACAGGGGCACAGTGAAGAGGGAGCTTCCCCGGCAGCTGCGTGGAGTGAAGCGCAGCTTGGGTGAGTCGTCTTTGATACGTCTCAAAAGCAATGGTGCCACTGGCACTGGTACTGGCGCTGGTGCTGCTGAGGCTCTGTCTCCCAGCAAACGGACTATAGAGGCACAGTGACGAGGGAGCTTCCCCGGCAGCTGCGTGCAGTGAAGCGCAGCTTGGGTGAGTGCACCGTCAGCGGGGCTTAGGTGAGACAAGTTGGCTCTTGAAGATTCTCAATAACTAGCTTTGGAGAGGTCACAATCTGAGTGGAGAGTTCGCGCAGTCGTGCTGTGCAGTGCTGTGCTGTGCTGACTAAAAGTCAGGTCGCACACTTAGTAGTCAGCACAGCACGAGGGACCCACCCACCCCTTGCTGACTTTAGAGCCGGCTCAAAAGCCACCGATCACTTGCGAGCTACCATTGATCATTGTGCGAGGTCAGTGCTGCATCCCCATGCTGCAGCCTCATGCTGCAGCCACCCTTGATGGGGTCAGGCAGGAGTGTGCTCTGAGAAACAGGCTTGCATGCTCCCCTGTTGCCTGTTGCCTGTTGCCTCCTCTCCTTGCCTCGCGTGTTCCACTCCTCTCCTTGTCTTGCATGTTCTACTCCTCTCCTTACCTTCCTCCTTGTCTCCCCTGCCTTTCTCTGCTCCACAACTCCTCTCTCGTTGCTCGTTCACGTGTGCAGTGGGCCCCTTGCTTCGCGAAGCCATGCTGTCAGCCACGTTCGATGGGGTCCGGGGCAGGTAAGGAAAGCTCAAGCAGAGGGTGGGAGGGACCCATGTTGTCTAACCCGCCATATAGCATGCTGTCAGCGTCATTCGATAGGGTCAGGGGCAAAGAGGTGACTTTTGAGTCGACTCAAAAGTCACCTCATTCGATAGGGTCAGGGGCAGGTGAGGGAGGATGTGATCCAAGCTCGTAACGTGATAGAATCAAAATCCGGAAGAAAACGATCGAAGCAGTAAGGGAACGGAACCCCTTCTGGCCCGGGGTCTGTACTGTTGTACTATGCCCATCCTCCCCATCCTTCCCACACAATTGCCAGGATCTCGCTCAACACGCACGACGACCTGCAGTCCAACGTGACCCGCATTCTCAACGTGCGCAACCCTCCCCCTCCTCGCCTTCCCTCCCACCCCACCCCACCAATCCCTGTCCTCACCAGGATCTCCCTCAACGCGCACGGCGACCTGCAGTCCAACGTGACGCGCATTCTCAACGTGATCAACGGCACCGCCGTGCCAGTCGGCTTCTGGACCTCCTCGCTTCTCCTCACGCCCTCCCTTGATGTACGCACGCCTTCTTTGTGTGTGTGAGAGCTTTGTGAGAATGATAAAAAGGAATATGGACCGTCCGAGCTTTTGAGAGGCCTCTCAAAAGGCACCGCCGTGCCAGTTGGCTTCTGGACCTCCTCTCTGCTCCTCACGCCCTCCCTTGATGTACGCCACCGCTTGATAGTTTTCTTACAGGAACATCATATATTTTATATGCCATGTAAGACCTGATGTGCTAAGCAACAGGCTGATTCCACCTTTGCGACTGGTCACATCACATGCCATCCATGTGTGCTGTGCTGTGCTGTGCTGTGCTGTGCTGTGCTGTGCTGTGCTGTGCTGTGCTGTGCTGTGCTGTGTGCGTGCAGCTACCTCCCATGAACGGCACATCACGCATGCTCAACATCACCTTCCCAGGCAACACTACGAAGGTGCCTCCCTCCCTTCCTCCCTCCTTTCCTTCCCCCTACTTCCTTCCCTCCCTCCTTCTCACCCTTCTCTTGGCGTTCCCTCCCTCCTTTTGTGTGCATCACCCTCCTCCCCTCCTCACCTGCTTGTCTTTCTCCACCTTGCTCCAAGTTTCTGTTTCCCTTCTCCATTCCACCCATACTTCCCTCACTTTCCTATCCTCTCTTCCTCTGTTCTCTGTTACTCTCGACCGTCTCGCACTCACTCCTCCACCCATCCCCTCTCTCTCCCATTCACCCTCTTCCCAATTCCCCACCTCTTGCCTACTTCGCCAACAGGCCCCCTCAGGTGCCTTCCCGCGCCGCAAGCTGCTGCTAGCCGTGCCCTACAAGAAAGGCTTCCAGCAGTTCGTCAACATCACCCGCTCCACCACCTCCTCACCTACAAGCGAGACCTCCTCCTCCTCATCATACTCATTCTCGGGTTTCACCGTGGAGTTGCTGCGTCTGGCCCTCAGCAAGCTGCCGTACCAAGCGGATTACGAGCTCGTGCCGTTTGTAGGGGACGACGGCGGTGGTGCTGACGCTCCAGTGGGATACGATGACATGCTGCAGGCCGTGGCCGATGAGGTAATGACGGGTCTAGGGTTGAGGGTTTCGAGGTTGAGGGTTTAGGGGTGCTGACGCTCCAGTGGGATACGATGACATGCTGCAGGCCGTGGCCGATGAGGTAGGGGCGGGTCAAGGAAAAGGAGGGGTTGAGGGTTTAGGGTTGCGAGGGCTGGATTGGTCGGTGAGATATATATATATATATTTTTAACCGTACCGTTGCACGAATTACGCAGTATCTTTACCTTGGTGTTGCTTTAGAGAATTCTCGAAAGAGGTGGGAACGCCCCGATGCGATACGACGGCATGCTGCAGGCAGTTGCAGGCGAGGGAATGGTCCTCCGGGTCGCCTTTTGGGTCGCCTTTTGTGTTAAGGGTCGCCTTTTGGGTCGCCTTTTGTGTTCAGGGTCGCCTTTTGGGTCGCCTTTTGTGTTAAGGGTCGCCTTTTGTGTTAAGGGTCGCCTTTTGTGTTAAGGGTCGCCTTTTGGGTCGCCTTTTGTGTTAAGGGTCGCCTTTTGTGTTAAGGGTCGCCTTTTGGGTCGCCTTTTGTGTTAAGGGTCGCCTTTTGGGTCGCCTTTTGTGTTAAGGGTCGCCTTTTGGGTCGCCTTTTGTGTTAAGGGTCGCCTTTTGGGTCGCCTTTTGTGTTAAGGGTCGCCTTTTGGGTCGCCTTTTGTGTTAAGGGTCGCCTTTTGTGTTAAGGGTCGCCTTTTGGGTCGCCTTTTGTGTTAAGGGTCGCCTTTTGGGTCGCCTTTTGTGTTAAGGGTCGCCTTTTGGGTCGCCTTTTGTGTTAAGGGTCGCCTTTTGTGTTAAGGGTCGCCTTTTGGGTCGCATTTTGTGTTAAGGGTCCTCTGGAGGATTCCCAAAAGCGGTGGCGAGGGTCATCATGTGCCATGCGACAGCATGCTCAATCAAGTCGATCCATCCATCTGGTCTTATTTTTGTGTAAGGAAGTGCGAACTGAGTTTTTGTTCTGTTCTTAGCTCACATCCATTTGGTCTGCTTTGCTTTGCTGCATCTGTGGATTGTGGGTGGCAGAAGTTTGACGGGGCCATTGGTGACATCTCGGTGACGCAGGCGCGGAGCAAGCTGGTGGATTTCACACAGCCCTTCATGGTTCGTTGCTTTGCTCACGCTGTGATCTTTATTTCTCACAGCCCTTCATGGTTCGTTGCTCACACTCTAGCCTTTATTTCTCACAGCCCTGCACGGTGCATTGCTCATGCTGCCGTGTCTCCATACTTCTTGTGACAGTGGAGCCTTAGCCGTAGAAATTAAATTGCAAGATCCTAAAGCCCACCCGCTTCACCCTCCTCCAACCCCCTCCAATCCCTCTCCAATCCCTCTCCAATCCCCCTCCAATCCCTCTCCAATCCCTCTCCAATCCCTCTCCAATCCCCCTCCAATCCCTCTCCAATCCCTCTCCAATCCCTCTCCAATCCCTCTCCACCCCTCCCAGGCATCAGCAGTGAGTGTGATCGCGTACGTGCCGCCCTCCAGCAGCTGGTGGATGGCACTCGCGCCCTTCACGCCCTCCATGTGGGCGGTGTTTCTCAGCATGACTCTAGCCACGGGGCTCATCACGGTGTTTCTCGAGTGCCGCCAGAACTTCGAGTTTCAAGGGAAGCTGCATGAGCTGTTTCAGCACGCCCTCTGGTGAGTTGCTGCTCTCTGGTCTGCTGGGTTGCTGTGCTAGCTTCAATGGCTGATGAATGGGTGTATTGTGTGTCTGTCACGAGTTGAATCAAAGCCACGGGGCTCATCACGGTGTTGCTTGAGTGCCGCCAGAACTTTGAGTTCCAAGGGAAGCTGCATGAGCTGTTTCAGCACGCCCTCTGGTGGGTTGCTGCTCTCTGGTGGGTTGCTGCTCTCTGGTGGGTTGCTGCTCTCTGGTGGGTTGCTGCTCTCTGGTGGATTGCTGTGCTTGCTTGATTGGCCGGAGGGTGCGTACCTTGTGTGTTTCAAGTCAAATCAAAGCAGCACTTCGACTTCCAAGGGAAGCTGCATGAGCTGTTTCAGCACGCCCTCTGGTGGGTTCATCTCACCTCAATTGCAGCAGCACCGTCTCGTGGGTTGGTCAGGCTGGGTTGACCTATTAAGTATAGCCTCAAACCAGGACCCAGAGTTCCAAGGGAAGCTGCACGAGCTGTTTCAGCACGCCCTCTGGTGGGATGCTGTGGTTACTTCATTGGCTGGGAGTCTTGTGGAGTCCCTTCATAGTTCGCTTTACACAGCCTTGCGGAGTTTGGTGCCAATCCGCCCTCTTGTGTTTCCCCTGTTGTGTTGCTCTCATCCCTCCCTCCCTGCCACAGGTTCGGCTACCTCTCTATCTTCTCCTTCCTCGGTACGACCTCCATCCATTCCTTTCCATTGCTCCACTCTTGAGTTTTTCCAAACGTGACCTCAATATACCTCTCTATCTTCTCCTTCCTTGGTCACTCTCACCATCACTCTCACCATCGTTCGCTCACCCTCACTCTGTCCGCTCCAGCTACACTCAAGTCTTGTGATGTCTTTACACGTGGCTCCCGCCGTACCTCTCCCATCTCCCACACCCACCGGGCCTCTCCCATCTCCCGCCGCATTTCACCCATTTCTCGCCGTACCTCTCCCATCTCCTGCCATACCTCTCCCATCTCCTGCCATACCTCTCCCATCTCCTGCCATACCTCTCCCATCTCCTGCCATACCTCTCCCATCTCCTGCCATACCTCTCCCATCTCCTGCCATACCTCTCCCATCTCCTGCCATACCTCTCCCATCTCCTGCCATACCTCTCGCAGCTTCTTGAAAAGTCCCATTCTTTTTTCCTTTTCCTGTCTCCCCTCTTTCCCTTCTCCCCTCTTTCTCTTCTCCCCTCTTTCTCGTCTCCCCTCTTTCCCATCTCCCCCGTTTTCCTTTCACCCCTCTTTCTCTTCCCCCCTTGTTCCTTCTCCCAGAGAAGCCGGTGCGGACATTGATTGCGCGGATAGTGCTCGCACTCTGGCTGCTGGTGACCTTCGTTGTAGTCACGTCCTTCACGGCCAACCTGACGTCTATAATCACGGTCAACATGCTCACAGTGCCCTCGCTGGACGTCAACAGTGTCATCAACGCCAACAACCCCATCGCCTACCAGGCGGGGTCCTTCATTGAGGGCTATCTCTTGCAGTTAGGGGTGCAAAAGGTACGACGCTCTTGCAGTTAGGGGTGCAAAAGGTAAGACGCTCTTGCAGTTAGGGGTGCAAAAGGTACGACGCTCTTGCAGTTAGGGGTGCAAAAGGTACGACGCTCTTGCAGTTAGGGGTGCAAAAGGTGTTAGTGTTAGCCTTCAATCTCACACTTTGTACTTTGTATTTTCTATATCCTAGAGTAGTGTAGTTTGCACATTGTGTTTGGTTGGGTGTACACCTACATCCCAACCAAACCCAAATGTAATCTCCAACCAATCTCCAACCCACCAATTGGAGATTGCCTTGGGATTACCCCCAATCCCTAGGGATTGCCCCCGATTCCCTTCCCCATCCATTCCCTACCTTGGATGTACTTAAAGAGCTTCAAGCTCATTACTAATGCATCGCTTCTAAGCCTAAGTTCTAACATGGTATCAGAGCCATACCTCCGCACATGCGGATCGTGATCCTCCTATCTACGCGGATGTTCTTCCCGCAAAGCTCGGCATAGCCTCCTTCAATCTCGTCGCTGTCGATTCGCGACATTCGTGGGCGGAAATTCTCCCGCACCACTTTCCCGTCAACTTCGACGACGCCTTCAATCTCTATGGTACGCTCATCGACGTCGCTCTAACTTACCGTTCCTTTTTCGTCATCTCTCAATTTCGTCACCGCGTCACCTCTTCTCGTCGGGCCGCCGCCCGTCGCCCCGCAGCTTCTCGTCGGGCCGCCGCCCGTCGCCCCGCAGCTTCTCGTCGGGCTGTCGCCCGTCGCCACGCAGCTTCTCGTTGGGCCGCCGCCCGTCGCCCCGCAGCTTCTCGTCGGGCCGCCGCCCGTCGCCACGCAGCTTCTCGTCGGGCCGCCGCCCGTCGCCCCGCAGCTTCTCGTCGGGCCGCCGCCCGTCGCCCCGCAGCTTCTCGTCGGGCCGCCGCCCGTCGCCCCGCAACTTCTCGTCGGGCCGCCGCCCGTCGCCCCGCATCTGCACTTCTACCCCCGTTCCCTTTTTCCCGCAGCCGAGCAGCAGTGCAGCAGCGCAGCCGAGCAGCAGAGTAGCCGCGAAGCCGTGCAGCAGCGTAGCCGCGAAGCTGAGGGTGGTGTGTGGGGGGGTGTGTGGGATTAGGGTTAGATCTACGGTAGTCGGCCGATTTCACCTAGTTTTGGCGGCCTCGAAATTCCTTCTACGAGGCATCCCGACGCGGTCGACATTGACGATATTTCCTATCTACGAGACTTAAGCGCGGCGCTTCGCGCGAGACACCAAGGGGTCTTCATTATGGCATTCACCTCGTCCACCATGGCCAACCCCATCACCCCACTCCGCCTTGAAGCCGATGGCTCTAGCTCCAACTTCAAGGCTTGGAGCTATGGGGTTGACAAGCACCTCCTGAGTCGTGACGTGCAGGGATTGGACCTCAAGGATGTCCTCCTCAACCGTGGCAAGGGAAAACAGCCCCTTCCCCCTTGTGAGCCGACCGAATCCGCTAGTGAGGCTGACACAATGGCATATGAGGAAGCTGTTGAGAAGTACCGGAAGTGGGAGAAGGACGATGCTGCTATTATCAGCGTCTTCATCGCCTCCACCCCTCCAGAACTTGTCAACACGTTCCATAACTACCCTACCTCCAACGCCATCTGGAAGTATCTCCAGGATCGGTTCATGAACAAGACTGCAGTCGGAGTTGCCATCCTCATCCCCAGCATGTTCCAGGTCCGCCTTGAGGATTGCTCGGGAATGGCCGACTACATTGCCAAGGTTCAGACCATTCATGGCGAACTCAAGGAGCTGGGTATAGTCTTCCCCGAACAGGCCCCTGCAGCAGCTCTTCTCGTTGGTCTCACCACAGCCTACGAAATCACAAGGAAGATGCTCCTCACGCTGACTGCGGAAGACCTCACTTTTGCCAAGGTCTCCACCGCACTCCTCTCTGCCGAGAAAGACTCCACGGCTCAGGCCAAGGCTTACGCCATCCGTGCTCCCATGCCTCAAGCCAGTGTCGCATCGGCCCTTGCCTCGGCGCCCCTCCAGCGCAATCGCTTCCCACCGTGCACCTACGTCGTCAAGTATGGCAACCGCAAGGGACAAGTGTGTGGTGGCACTAACCACCCCCTTGCTACGTGCTTCAAGAAGAAGGACGACGAATGGTACGCCATCCACGGCATAGACAAGAGGCCACCGAACTGGATGCGTGCGCGTAAGGCCAACCTGGTTGAGGTCCAGGACCCCGCTTCGGCTAGTGCTAGAGCTAGTGATAGTGCTCCTGCTGATGTCCGTATCAACCTGTTGTTCCCTGGCACTGCCATGATTAATGAAGCTTCCTCCCAGTACCTCGGCTCATCACAAGCACCACAATACATAGAGTTCACACTCGACAGCGGCGCCACACACACTGTACTCAAGGAGACACTCTCCTTCAAACCCTACGCAACACCCATCCCTCTCTTAGGAGCTGACTCAAGCTTCACCACTCATGCCAAGGGTTCATCCACAGTCCCGTGCCCCGCCTTCCCTTCCGGCACTGTCACTGGAATGTGCGTGCCTTCACTCCGCCACAATCTCGTGGCCCAAACGGAAATTCAGGAAGCTGGGCTACGCACCATCTTCTGGGAGAACGAGAACTATGGTGACATCCTCGACCCACTCACCAACAAGGTCTTGACTCGTTTCACCCTCAACAGCAGCGGCCTTTACACTCTGCAAGTACCCATCCCACAGGTGTCAACCACCCAAACAGCGGCGACTACCTCACCATGCTCGTGCCGCAGTTTCTCCAACCCGACCATACTCTACCACCATCGGCTCGGGCACCCAAACTTCCGCACACTTGCTGACATGGCCTCCAAGAAACTTCTACTCGGCCCGCCAGCCTCACTTCCTCCACCACCAGACTCCCCCGCTCCCACGTGCCTTGACTGCACCAAGAGCAAACTGCGTCAACAGCCCCACCCGGCCTCACCCTCTGTCGCAGCAGGACCACTGGACCTGGTACACCTGGACGTCTGGGGCCTTGCCCCTGTTCCCGCACGAGGTGGTTATCGCTACTTCCTTGTTATCGTCGATGACCACTCTCGCTACGTCTCTGTTCACCTCCTCCACACTAAGGCTGCGGTTCCAGAGGTCCTCATGGCGTGGGTTAAACAGGCACAGACCGCCTTTGACCGCAAAGTCAAGCGCCTCCACTCAGATGGTGGTGGTGAGTTTTGCAACGACAAGCTCAAAGCCTTCTGCTCCTCAGAAGGCATCCAGCAAAACTTCACCCTCCCTGACAGCCCGCAGCAGAACGGCATAGCTGAGAGCCGCAACCACACCCTGGTGCAGATCACTCGGTGCCTCCTCAGCCACTCCAACGCTCCGCACTCTCTCTGAGGGTACGCTCTCTACCACGCCGCCCTCCTCTACAACCTTTACCCCCACCCGCATCTTCCCGACACCACTCCAACAACACTCTGGCTCGGGAAAACGCCCACTGCTCGCTCTCTTCGCGTTTGGGGGTGCACCGCCTATGTCCTCCTCAACCCTCAGGCTCGACGGCAGCACGGCGGCAAGCTCGGTCCCAAGACCCAGACGTGCATCTACCTCGGGCACAACGCCGACTCGCCTGACTACCTCTTCCTCAATCCCTCCACTCAACAATTGGTCCGGAGCCGCGACGTTGTCTTTGATGAGACCCGCCCATTCTACTCCACCTCGGGACGGGACCCTCTCCCTGATCCACCCTCCCTCGTGTGGGCAGACTTTGATGCGCCTCCTGACCTCCCGCCTGCTCCGGCCCCTTCACCTCCTACCCCTCCTGCCACCGCACCGTCCCCCTCTGAGGTCTCTGACCCGCCCTCACCGGTGTCCTCGGCAGCTGCTCCTCCATCCCCCTCACTTCCCACTGCGCCGACTGTGCAGCCACCTCCGAGCGCACCTATCACCTACCATCGGCGGTCCCACCCTCCGGCCCCACCTCCTCCCCCGGTTCCCCCCACCACAGAGGAACCCGCTCTCCCACAGCCGCCCGAGCTGATCACGTACCACCGGCGGCCCATTCCCCCGCCCAAGCCTCCTAAGTCCACCCCCTCGACTCCGCCTGCCCCACCCTCTTCTCCGGTGGCTCATGGCACTCGTTCGCATGGCGCTGCTCTTCCACTAGCGCTGGTTCTTCGGTACACGGCGATCACACCGCCTCCTCCTGCTGGGGGGGATGTGCCCTCTACCCTCCTGGAAGACAGGCATGAGGAGCTGTGTGATCTTCATGCAGTCATTCCTCAGCTCTCGCACATCTTCCCCGACATCACTGACTCACCCTCCCTCAACTTCGCGGAGAACCCGACCATCCCTATCCCTCTCACCGTCCAAGAGGCTCTCTCAGGTCCTCATGCTGCCGAATGGCGTGTTGCCATGGAAGCGGAGATTGCAGCATTCACCCGCAACCACTCCTTCGACGACGAGACTCCACCTCCAGGAGTCAACATCGTCGGGGGCAAGTGGTTGTTCCGTGTAAAACAGCTCCCAGACGAGGCCCCGGTGTTCAAAGCGCGTTACGTAGCCAAGGGCTTCACCCAGCAGCAGTACTGCGACTTCTTCCTAACCTTCTCCCCCACATCCAAACCTCCCACCATTCGTACGCTCATGGATGTCGCAGCTCGAGAAGACTTTGAGATCAAAACCATGGATGCCTCATCCGCCTTCCTACAAGGACGTCTCAAGGAGACAGTGTTCATGGACAGACCAGAAGGTTTCCCAAGAGAATTCCCTCCCAACACTGTCTGGAAGCTGAATCGCCCCGTCTACGGCCTTAAGCAAGCCCCTCGCGAATGGCACAACAAGGTGAAAGAAGTCCTCCTCTCCCTGGACTTCCACCCTTCAACTGCTGACCCGACTCTCTTCATCCGCCGTCATTCTGAGCCATTCTACATCCTGGTCTACGCGGATGATTTCATCCTCGTTGCCAAGGACTCGGCCCAGATGACCTCTGTTCAGGCAGCCCTGAGCAAGGCCCTCCAGATGAAAGACCTCGGTGACCTCAAGCACTACCTGGGGATGGAGATCACTCGTGATCGCCAGGCTCGCACCATTTCACTCTCCCAGGAGTTCTACATCGACAATGTGCTCAAGCGGTTTGAGATGGAGCTGTGCACACCTGTTGCCACCCTGCTGCCGCTGCAACACCTCCTCACAGCTCCAGCTATACCCACACCAGAGGCCTGCTCTGAGCCGTACCCGGAGCTTGTTGGGTCCCTCATGTACGCCATGATGTGCACCCGACCAGACTTGGCCTACCCTGTCAGTGTCCTCTCTCGCTACGTGGCCCCTGGACGCTTCACTGATCTTCACTGGAAGGCGGCAAAGCGGGTGCTGCGCTATCTTCAGGGCACCAAGTCTCACGTTCTCACACTCGGTGGGCTCTCCCCTCCTTGCCTGGAAGGTTACACCGACTCCTCCTGGGCTGATGACCAGACCGACCGACGCTCCTCTCAGGGGTACTGCTTCACCCTTGGGAGCGGAACTGTCAGTTGGCGCTCCACCAGGTCGTCTGCAGTCTCCCTCTCCTCCTGTGAGGCAGAGCTCTACGCAGGCACCATGGCTGCTCAGGAAGCCCGTTGGCTCACCTTCCTGCTCCAGGAGCTTGGTTTCCCACAGTCCGCCCCCACCCTCTGGTGTGACAACCAGAGTACCATCCACATCTCTCAAGACCCTGTGTACCACACCCGCACCAAACATATTGAACTCCGGCACTTCTTCATCCGTGACCTTGTCCAGCAGGAGCAGTTGAAAGTGGAGTACGTTGCATCTGCCTGCAACCTGGCTGATCTGTTTACCAAGCCCCTTGGGAAAGTTCCCCACCACCGTCTCCTTGGCGCCATGGGGCTCGGTGCTCCACCCTCTCTGCCCTGAGTTCGATTGACGTCTATGGGGGGGTGTTAGTGTTAGCCTTCAATCTCACACTTTGTACTTTGTATTTTCTATATCCTAGAGTAGTGTAGTTTGCACATTGTGTTTGGTTGGGTGTACACCTACATCCCAACCAAACCCAAATGTAATCTCCAACCAATCTCCAACCCACCAATTGGAGATTGCCTTGGGATTACCCCCAATCCCTAGGGATTGCCCCCGATTCCCTTCCCCATCCATTCCCTACCCTTCTTGGATGTACTTAAAGAGCTTCAAGCTCATTACTAATGCATCGCTTCTAAGCCTAAGTTCTAACAAAAGGTACGACGCTCTTGCAGTTAGGGGTGCAAAAGGTAAGACGCTCTTGCATTTAGGGGTGCAAAAGGTACGACGCTCTTGCAGTTAGGGGTGCAAAAGGTAAGACGCTCTTGCAGTTAGGGGTGCAAAAGGTAAGACGCTCTTGCAGTTAGGGGTGCAAAAGGTACGACGCTCTTGCAGTTAGGGGTGCAAAAGGTACGATGCTCTTGCAGTTAGGGGTGCAAAAGGTACGACGCTCTTGCAGTTAGGGGTGCAAAAGGTACGACGCTCTTGCAGTTAGGGGTGCAAAAGGTAAGACGCTCTTGCAGTTTGGGGTGCAAAAGGTACGACGCTTTTGCAGTTAGGGGTGCAAAAGGTACGACGCTCTTGCAGTTAGGGGTGCAAAAGGTACGACGCTCTTGCAGTTAGGGGTGCAAAAGGTACGACGCTCTTGCAGTTAGGGGTGCAAAAGGTACGACGCTCTTGCAGTTAGGGGTGCAAAAGGTACGACGCTCTTGCAGTTAGGGGTGCAAAAGGTACGACGCTCTTGCAGTTAGGGGTGCAAAAGGTAAGACGCTCTTGCAGTTTGGGGTGCAAAAGGTACGACGCTCTTGCAGTTAGGGGTGCAAAAGGTACGACGCTCTTGCAGTTAGGGGTGCAAAAGGTACGACGCTCTTGCAGTTAGGGGTGCAAAAGGTAAGACGCTCTTGCAGTTAGGGGTGCAAAAGGTACGACGCTCTTGCAGTTAGGGGTGCAAAAGGTACGACGCTCTTGCAGTTAGGGGTGCAAAAGGTACGACGCTCTTGCAGTTAGGGGTGCAAAAGGTAGTGCAAGCAAGCTTACCGCTTATCCAGGTAATCTCTACCAACATGCTCACAGTGCCCTCGCTGGACGTCAACAGTGTCATCAACGCCAACAACCCCATCGCCTACCAGGCGGGCTCATTCATCGAAGGTAAAGCGCCTCATGTCCCTCCTCTCTCCTCTCTCCCACGCCTCCTCTCTCCTCTCTCCCGCTCCTCCTCTCTCCTCTCTCCCACGCCTCCTCTCTCCTCTCTCCCGCTCCTCCTCTCTCCTCTCTCCCGCTCCTCCTCTCTCCTCTCTCCCGCTCCTCCTCTCTCCTCTCTCCCGCTCCTCCTCTCTCCTCTCTCCCACGCCTCCTCTCTCCTCTCTCCCGCTCCTCCTCTCTTCTCTCTCCCGCTCCTCCTCTCTTCTCTCTCCCGCTCCTCCTCTCTTCTCTCTCCCGCTCCTCCTCTCTTCTCTCTCCCGCTCCTCCTCTCTTCTCTCTCCCGCTCCTCCTCTCTTCTCTCTCCCGCTCCTCCTCTCTCTCTGTCCCCTTTAGCACATCCTGGTACTGCTTAGCAGCGTAGAGGAGTACTTCGAAGGAGCCTCAATAGCTTGCTTGCTTGCCCTTATGTTCCACGTCCCCCCCCCCCCTCCCTCCCCGTATCTGTACCCGTTACAGCACAACATGGTAGCGCCGAGCAGTGCGGAGGAGCACAGCAGTGCGCTGGTGACTGGGAGGGCGAGAGCAGACATTGCCTGGAGGGCTATCAAAGGCAAGCATTGCCTCTCTCCGTCCCACACCCTGTCTGTACCCGTTACAGCACAACATGGTACCTCTTAGCAGCGAGGAGTGCAGCAGTGCGCTGGTGACTGGGAGGGTGAAAGCTGTGGTGGTGGTACTGAGAGCTAACCACTGCCTCTTTCCATCCCACACTCCCCTGTCTATACCCCTTACAGCACAACATGGTGCCGCTTAGCAGTGCGGAGGAGTACAGCAGTGCGCTGGTGTCTGGGAGGGTGAAGGTGGTGGGGGATGTATATGGATTTGCTCAGGGCCAACCACTGCAGCATGGCACAAGTCAAGCAGCCCTACTCCTTCCTCAGCATGGCATTTGTGAGTGAGGGAGTGTGGTGTGGTGTGAGAGTGAGAGTGAGAATGAGTGTGAGTGTGACTGGGAGGGCGAGAGTGGTGGTGGATGAGGATCCGTATATGGATTTGCTCAGGGCCAACCACTGCAGCATGGCACAAGTCAAACAGCCCTACTCCTTCCTCAGCATGTTCTTTTTAAGTGTGTTGAAGTGAGATTGAGGGTGAGAATGAGTGTGAGCGGGAGCGAGGGGGAGAGGGAAAGGAAGTCGGAGAGGGAGGGTGAGTGTGAGTGTGATGGAATTTCAAACCCGCGTAACAGATTACTTATATCTTGCCAAAATAAAGCGAGCAAAAAAAGGAAGGACTAGGAATGTTCACGCCCTGCATCCACCCTTGCTCCCTGCGAGGCCTTTCAGAAGGGATCGCAGTTGCGCCGAGACATCTCAGCAGCGCTTCTCCACCTGACCATGACAGGCGAGCTGGATCAACTACAGAAGGACTACCTGCTGGGAGGACCAAGGCAGTGCCCCGACACGCTCATGCCCGAGGCACCGGCGGTTTGGTTTTTGAGGCGGCTAAGAAATCCTCTCCCCTCCCCGTTCCTCTCCCTCACTCCCCAGGCCTTCCAGAAGGGATCCCAGCTGCGCAGAGACATCTCAGCAGCGCTTCTCCACCTCACCATGACCGGCGAACTGGACCAACTGCAGCAGAAGTACCTGCTGCTGGGAGGCCCCCGGCAGTGCCCCGACGGGAGGAACTTCAAACCCTAAGCTCTCTGCATGCACCCTTCCCCTCTCCCCAGGCCTTCCAGAAGGCATCACAACTGCGCCGAGACATCTCAGCGGCGATTCTCCACCTCACCATGACTGGCGAGCTTGATAAGCTTCAACAGCAGTACCTGCTGGGAGGGCCCCGGCAGTGCCCCGACACGCTCATGCCGGAGGCCCCGACGGTGCTGGCAAATGAGAACTTCTGGGGGCTGTTTGTGGGGTATGCCGTGGTGTCGCTCTCGTGCTGCCTGCTCTATGTCGGGCTGCTGCTGTTCCGCGGCGCCATGGTGGCCAGGTGAGGGGGGGCGGATGGGATGGGGGTGGGGGAGGGGGTGGGGATGGGGTGGGTGTGTTGGGTGACTTGTGAGTCGGGACTGAAACGTCACCTCACGTGCTGCCTTCTGTACTTTGGGCTGCTGCTGTTCCGCGGCGCCATGGTGACCAGGTGAGGAGGGGTTGGGAGTGGTGTTAAGGATGGGGATGTGGGGTGGGGGTGGGGGAAGTGCGGATGGGAGTGGGAGTGGGAGTGGGGATGGGAAACTGGTGACTCTCCATGCCTGTTTTCACATGCTCTTGCGTGTTTTCACATGCTCTTGCGTGTTTTCACGACTTGTTTCTCACACTCTGCTTTACCCCCTCTTTCTCCTGTCGCAGGGAGCTATCAAAGCAGCAAGCCAAGTCATACAACGCCGACATGGTGGAATTCGTTTCCACACAAGCGGCAGATTAACCCGCACAAGCGGCGCCGCCTCCTCCTGCCGTTGCCTTTAAGAGCGACTCGCTCGCCTTTATAGAGGAGCTTGGAGATGAAGAGGAGGATGAGGATGAAGAAGAGGAGGGAAACTTTTACTCTGCCCATCTGAAAGGCGGCGATGCTGATGACGGGATTGGTGGGATTGGTGGGGGTGGTGGGAAGGGGGAAAGGCCCGTGTTGCTGGCACCCAAAGGACGTGCTCTGTCAGAGGATGGTGAAGCAGGGGTTGCAGAATCTGCAACAGCAGCAGCGACAGCGGTGGGAACAGCAGCAGCAGCCTCAGCGGCGCTGTCACCAGTATCACCATTAACACGAGGCGCATCAGCAATCGCAGCAGCAGCATCACCAATATCGCCAGAATCAGCGGCAGAAGAAGTAGAAGCAACACCAGCATCACCAATCGCACAAGCATCAACAGTAGCATCTGCTGCTGCTACCGCAGAGCAGAGAGCAGCGCAGGGAGCAGAGCAGGGAGCAGCGCAGGGAGCAGAGCAGGGAGCAGCGCAGGGGCAGGCCAGCAAGCCCGGAATCAAAGTGGCAGCGAGCTTTGAAAGGTCTCAAAAAGCGCAGCGGCAGTCAAGCAGACCGGGTATGAAAGTGGCTGCAAGCTTCGTTGCAGTGGCCTCTCTGCATAAGCGCGTGGGCAACCTCGTCGACCGCTTTCAAAAGGTACCACCCTCACCCTCTGCCTCGATACTGTTTGTTTCTTTCCAGTCAATTTCATCTGATCACCTCAGCAGCAGATCCGATCAGCTGGTGGCGGCGTAGACCAGCTTCGTTGCAGTGACTGACCTCTCTGCGTACGCGAGTAGGCAACCTCGTTGATCGCTTCCAGAATGTGCCTTCCTCTCCTCACTCCCTTCATTGTTGAGGTTTTTCTTCTCTTTTCCTTCTCTTTTTCTTCTCTTTTTCTTCTCTTTTTCTTTTCTTTTCTTTTCTTTTGAACGCCCCAAGCAGACTCTCACTGGCCACAGAAGCCCCCAACCTCTTCACTTGCCCTCACGTCCCTCCTGTCCTTTTTTGAGTGGAGCACCATGCAAGCTCAGCTGCCTCTGCTCTCACCTCCTCTTCCTTAAGTCGACCCAAGAATCGCTCCCTGTCGACTCAAACCCTAAAACCCCCTGTTCAACCCCGCCACCCCCCCCCACAGGGTCAAGAGTGGAGCAAGGAGCGCCACGCACGTGCATCTGCCCCTGCTATCACCGCCTCGGCCTCTGGAATCACCGCGTCTGCCTCCGCCACCTCTCTCTCTGACATGGCCTCTGAAGACCAGCCAGCAGCAGATGGCATTGCCATTGGCGGCAGCAGTTTTGGCAGCTCTACTCCCCACACACTCCCTCATGTCCCGATAGGCCGCCGCGCAGGGAAAAAATTGAGAGAAGCTAGGTTAACAGGTAGTCTGACAGCTGGTACCCCCAGAGCTGGAGACAGGCCCGGTGCCAAGCCAGTGATCAGGGCAGGATCCGTTCCTGACATGGGCCTTCAAGCAGGGTCGGGAGCAGCACCGGCAGCATCATCTTCTAATAAGCTGGTTTCTGTGTTGAGATCGAGCAAGCAGGTGCAGAAGCAAGGGCAGGTGATCAAAGTGCTGCCGTCTCGGCAATTGCCAGCTCCAGGTCAATTCAGTGGGCGGAATTTTTTTGACATTGATGACGACGACGACGACGACGTTGACTATGGTATATATGAGGACGGCGATTCTGGAGATGACAGTTCCTTGCCGCAGCTGAAGTGAGCATCTGCTCCTTCGCTTATCAACAAAGATGTTCCGGTCCAGAGCTGCTGAGTTCAGTCAAGGTGAGATAACAGGGTTAAGAAATAGAGTTTCATTATCTAGCCTTTCTGTTCCCTTCTTGAACATTTACATAAGTTCATGCATGTGTGTCTGTGTGTGTGTTTTTTCCCTTCTTTTCTTTGTCCTTGCAGGTGTGTTTTCTTCATGTAGGTTTATAGCAAGTGTTGCCCACACCGTATTTGTCTTTTGTAATTGCTTAGAGAAATGACACCAGTCCGATCTGAATGTGTCATGTCATGTCTATGAGAGCAGCCGCTAGGTGGTTGCAGTGTTGGCTTGGCTAATTTTTGCTCCAATGCCATTCATTCCCCCTCCACCTGTTGCCTTCCGTTCGGTTGTCGCTTTCCTCCGCTTGGTGATGCAACGGAAGGCAACAGGTGGCTTTTCCGAAAGCAAGGACAATGGACAATGGGAATGCTGCGAGTCGCGCGGGATGGAAAGATCAATAGACGTACTTCGCGAAGGCCAGCAAGGCGGAAAAAGTATTCGCGAAAGCTGAAAAGGACAACAAACGACTTCAGCGAAATGCCACGGAGGAACCCAGGATCTCTACTAGGATCCTTTTCCAACAGGCGGTGGCGCTGTCGTGGCAGTGATGTGCATTTCACCGAAGGGGTGCGGTAGGGTTACAAAGAGTTATTGGTCATAAGGCCGTGGTACTGTCATTCCAGTTGGTCTGTTTCAACCTGAGGGACGATGCTCTACAAGTGTGTCATGTCAACGTGCGGTACAGAGCTGCACGCACAGAACTACAGTAGTACAGTTCGTACAGTAGTTGACCGCCCTGAGGTTCCTCGAGATTCTTCACTTCACGAACAACTACATTGGTGGGTTACTCGGCTCATTGTTCTGCGAATCTCGCACAGCGCAGTTCGGCTTTGTCGTTCCAGTTCAGAATTGCCACGACAAAAGGTGGCGAGGAGCTGGGTTCCGGAGTGGGAAAAAAACAGAATCATGTGATGTGTCATGGGGCACCGAATGTTGTAGACGAAAGAGTACATCTTACGAAGTAAGTGTCGGTGGGCCGTCATAACCAAATGAGGTATGCCATACGAATTTAGGACCTTCCGTCAATAGCGGCATCCACCATCCATCACACTGCGTTTTTGTGAAGTCTCCACTCCACCACACTGCTACAAACCACGGTCCTCTACACAGCCAAAGTTGTCAAGTCGAAACAAGATCCAGATAACAGAAGCTGAAACGAGACCTTTATCTGGCTCCATTGCTAAAGCGGGACTCTGGCGTCGTCGTCGCTCTCTCATGTCCGTCCGCCTGGTGGTCTCGTTAACAATACAGTATAACAAAAGAGCCTAGTCCTGTTACCTCTGTGATTCTCCCTTCTAAGCTGGACCTCCGTTGTCGGATCATCGTCGTCGTCTTCATAATTTGTCGTGTCTTATTCGACGTCATCGTCGCCGTCGGCTCTTCCCCCTCTCTCATGTCCGCACGTCGCCATTGTGTGCCATCCACCGAAACCCCACCGAACAATGAGTCCCGGCGGCTGACTTCTAGACTTGATTTCACCCACTATAGACCTCGCCCGCGGCCCCGCCATTGGGATCATCCGCACAATATAGAGCCTGCTTATGCTATACCTCGGCCGGATCTGCACAGACCGCAGGGGGAGGCACGCCCAGTAGCCTCCTCCCCCTCCCCGCGCCACGTGGCAGAAAGGCTCCCATTTCCGACTTTCGAGCCGCGTAAAGCGAAACCTTCCGCGCATTCCCGCTTGCTCTTTCATCCCCATCTCTTTCGGCCGCATATCACGCTGCTTCTCGCGGTTCTACTCTTACCCCCGCTATTATCACGGTCGGATTCGTCAGGCACCCCTGCGGGGGGTTCCTACCACCGCTATTATCACGTATCCGGAGGATCCGCGCCCCCCTTATCTTCCGCGCTCCGCGACTCTCCGCAAGGTTCCGCCGATCATGGCGCGCCGCTGCGCGCTAGTAGTGGTAGGAGTAGTACTGGCGGGTCCGCACCCGCCGCGGCGGTCAGCGGCGTGCGGGCGGTGGTGGTACCGCGCGCCGACTCACTTCCGCGCGCCGATTCGTTTCCGCGCGCCAACATGATGCCGCAGAAGGCTATTCCGCAGGAGAGAACGGGACCTGCAGAGCAGGCGCACGCCCCCGACATTATGCTTCGAGAGGTCGGACCGCGACAGGCGGAGCCGCGAGAGGCGGAGTCGCGCGAGTCGCGAATAAAGGCTAGAGTGGTTTCGGGGAAAGCCACAAGCGCAAGTGGCAGTGGGCATAACAGTGGGGTAGGAATTAACGGCGGGGAGCGCGCCGCGATTCGCGGCGAGATTCGTGGGGTGCAGGAAGAGCGGGTGGATGGGAGGGAGGAGGTGACGTTGGGTTGTCTGATTCCCACCTACTCGCAAGACGGATTGAACATGCTGGCAGGTGATTAGGGTGGTGGTGACGATAATGGTGATGATGATTGCACACAACCCCTCCCAGCCACTCCCTACCCCTCCATCTCCTTCTCCCCGTCCCATCAACCTTCGTCGCTGCCTTCTCCCACCCTGCCTGCCCCTCCCGCATGCTCCCATCCCCTCCCCCGTGTCCCGCATCCTTTCCGCCTGTCCTCCATCCCCCTCCACTCAACCCCCATCCCCTCCCGCGTGCCCCCCATCCCCTAACTTCTCCCCCCGTCCCCTCGCGTGCTTCTTATCCCCTCCCACTCGCCCTCCCATTCCGCCGGTCCAGCAATCACCATGACTTTTAGGTCAACTCAAAAGTCACCCCCTCGCTTGCAACCCGTCCCCTCGCTTGCCCCTTATCCCCTTCCACTCGCCCGCCCATTCCGCCTGTCCAGCAATCACCATGGCAGTTGCTGACGTCAACAGCGACCCCACCATCCTGCCACGTCAGCGCATCCGCCTGATCACCGGCAACATCAGCGCCAGCACGCCATCCATGCTCAGCCAGTTGGCAGGTGGGCCGCAAGCGCTGACGTGGCAGCAGCATTAGCCCTAGCCAATCCCTCTCCTCTCTCGTACTTGTTCCAACTCGCGTTTCTCCACCGCTTTCTCTCCTCACCACTCCTCTTGCTCTTGCACCGCCTTTAAAGCCACATCAGCCACATCAGCCACTTCTGCCACATCACCCACATCGAATCCACCATATTTTCCGTCATCACTCTTACCACTCTCCAGGATTTTCCCCCTCCTCTCCTTCCCGTTCCTCCCCCTCTGCCCCTGCAGCCATGGCAACAGTGCAGCAGCGGCCAGTGGCAATCATAGGCCCGGGGACGTCCGACCAAGCAGCTCTCATTAGCCCACTTGCCACTGCCACTCAGGTACGCACACAAGCTTTACAACTGTATATCAATCTGAAATGGCGTCTCATGCAGATTGAGAGATGTTTTCAAGGCTCCTGAAAACGCATCAGCCCAACCCAACCAGTCAAGCTGAGTGTAACCCCATTGCCTCATCGTATCCACCTCATCCCATCCTTTCACCATCACTTCCTTTCACCATCATACCGTCTTTGCACCCTCCCTGCAGACTCCCTTAGTGTCCGCGGCAGCAACAGACGTGCAGCTCACAGTGGGGGGTGCTCGGCCGTTCTTCATGCGGACCATTCCCAACGATGGTGTTGACATGCAAGCCATAGCCGGTGAGGCAAAGGCGAGGCGAGGGATGCAGGTACATTGGTGCACTTAGGTACAGGGGGGGATGCTTGCTCGGCTGCTCTTCATGCGGATCACTCCCAACCCAATGATGGTGTTGATATGCAAACCATAGCCGGTAAGGCGTTGTGACCCCGTGCTGTGCAGATGAGGTGATGCTCTGCTGCTGCTGCTGCTGCTGCTGCTGCTGCTGCGATACAAGTGGAGGCAGTTCATGGCAGTGACACGTTCAATTGAAACATCTTCCTTCGTCTCCATATGTTTTTCTCTCCCGTGTCTCTCTGTCCATGCCTCTGCTGCAGCGCTGCTGCTACGCTACAAGTGGAGGCAGTTTGTGGCAGTCTACACGGACAACCGCTTCGGCCGCAACGGCATCACGGCGCTCATGACTTACCTGCTCGAAAAAAAGGTGTGCGCACTCGCTTGCACACTCACTCGCTTGCACACGCACTCGCTTGCACACTCACTCGCTTGCACACGCACTCGCTTGCACACTCACTCGCTTGCACACGCACTCGCTTGCACACTCACTCGCTTGCACACGCACTCGCTTGCACACTCACTCGCTTGCACACGCACTCGCTTGCACACTCACTCGCTTGCACACTCACTCGCTTGCACACGCACTCGCTTGCACACTCACTCGCTTGCACACTCACTCGCTTGCACACGCACTCGCTTGCACACTCACTCGCTTGCACACTCACTCGCTTGCACACTCACTCGCTTGCACACTCACTCACTCGCACACTCACTCACTCGCACACTCACTTACTCGCACACTCACTCACTCGCACACTCACTCACTCGCACACTCACTTGCACAACCGCTTGATCGCACCATCCACTCACACTCATTCACTCTTGATCGCAGTTTCTCCCCTCTTCCTAGCCGTTCACCCACCCCTCGACCTGTCCATATCCCTACCCCCTACCCAAACACCCGAAAGGCGTCGTACGTGCACAATGCACATTGCCCACAGGGCGTCCCTCACCCTCTGCAGTGTTATGAAAGCTCTTGTTTACACCCCTGCTCACCCTCTTTTCTCCCCTACCCCTACCTGTTCCCGCTCCACTTTCCCTCTATGTATCATTCATATCCCTATTCTTCTCACCTGGAAGGCGTCGCACGTGCACATTGCCCAGAGGGTGCTGGTTGTATAGGAAAAGCGCCGTTATTCTCCCCTTCTCACTCACTTTTCTCCCCTACCCCTACCTCTCCGTTCTCCACGTTTCCTCTACCTATCATCCATATCCTTCCCCACCCCTACCCGTACACCTGAAAGGCGTCGTATGTGCACATTGCCCAAAGGGTGCCTGTCAAGTCCACGTGGACATCTGATGACGTGGCACAGGCCCTGGCTGCCAGCAAGGCAGTGGACTCCTCCGTCTATGTGCTGCACGCATCCTCTACCATGTCTGCTCTCATACTCGATACAGGTACACTCGATATGAGTAGAACATTGTGGATAACATTTTAAAAGGGCCAGTAACAGAACAACGAATTTAAGTTCCCTTCCTCTCGTAGCATATGGTCAAGATAACAGGTTTAATGTACGTGGCTGCATCACCCCCATCGTTCCCTCTATCACAGCAAGCAAGCTGGGCATGATAATAGGGAAGAAGAAGTACGTGTGGAAAGCAGTGGGAGCCACTTCAGATTCCGCCTGCATATCGTTGCCCCTTTCACCCTTCCCACTATCGCAGCGAGCAAGCTGGGCATGATAGGCAAGAACTACGTGTGGATCGCATCGGAGGGGGCTGCTCAGGCCAACACGTCCACACTGCAGAGTGCAGAGGTGGGTGGGTGAGTGAGAGGGCGAGGGGATGGGTAAGAAGAAGTTGTTTGAGGGTGCAAGGCAGGCGGCCGAGGAGGAACCCACGACCTACAGCCGCATAGCCTGCAGCCTCGCCGGCTCTATCTACCACACACACACCATGAGGTGGGTGAGGGAGAGGCTGCGATCCACAGTCTCATAGACGACTTTTGAGACGTCTCAAAAGTAGCCTCGCCGGCTCTATCTACCACACACACACCATGAGGTGGGTGAGTGAGAGGCTGCGACCCACAGCCTCATAGCCTGCCACGCCGTGTTTCAGCCTCATCAACAACCAGAATCTCACAGTCGCAGCCCTCCTATCTCCCTCCTGTTCTCTCCTCTCCTTTCCTCTCGCCCTCCCCCTCCCTTCCCACCTCTCCGTCCCCAGGGTCTGATAATCACAGCGTCGTATCACCCGCCATCCCAACGCCTGTCAGCCTTCAAGCAGCGGTGGAAGCAGCTGAGCGATCAGCAGTTCCCAGGGGCGGCTGAGGAGGACCCTAAGACCTACAGCCTCGCAGCCTACGACGCTGTTTACCTCGTCTCCCTCGCCCTGCACTCCCTGCTGCAACACACCAGCAGTAGCAGCAGCAGCAGCAGCAGCAGCGGCAGCACCAGCAGCACCAGCAGCAATGGCAGCAGCAGCAGCACGGGAGCACACTTTTTTGCGATGTCTGCTGTTGCAAGTAACAGTGCCTTGATACTGCCGGTGGCAGGGCAAGGGGCGGAGGCAGGTGGTGGGCTCGTTCCGCTGCTGCAGAACCTGCAGCGCAACCCAGGTGGGTAGTGCTTAGCTTACTTGTGAGTAAAGTGCCCTGTCAGAGGTGCTGCAGAGCCTCACATGCACTCAGGTCAGTCAGACAGGTTGGCTGTCCGTTGTGAATATCAGAGGGGAACAATAGACGGAATAATGTAATGTGCATCTGATTGTATTCCACTAATTGTTCCCCTCTCTGTTGTCTCCCTCCCTCCCCTGTCTGCACCCTCTGTCCTTCCCTCTTCTCTTAGTTCTTTCACTCTTTTCGTCGTCCTTCCCACCTATCCTCCCTAACGCGCCTCTTTCTTTCTCTTGTTTCTTTGTTGTTTTCCGTTTCTCCTTTCCTCCGCTGCTTGGTCCCCTCGTCATCCTTCCGTCCCTCCCCCATGCAGTGGGCTCTGCACTCCGTCGAGCCATCCTCAACACAACCTTCGAAGGCCTCACAGGAAGGTAAGACGCTGAAAGCCTTATTAGGGGCGTACAAGCAGGCATGAGCAAAGGAACCACAGTTTTCATTCAAGACGCTGAAAGCCTTATTAGGGGCGTACAAGCAGGCATGAGCAAAGGAACCACAGTTTTCATTCAAGACGCTGAAAGCCTTACCAGGGACGTACAAGCAGGCATGAGCAAAGGAACCACAGTTTTCATTCAAGACGCTGAAAGCCTTACCAGGGACGTACAAGCAGGCATGAGCAGAGGGACCACAGTTTTCATTCAAGACGCTGAAAGCCTTACCAGGGACGTACAAGCAGGCATGAGCAGAGGGACCACAGTTTTCATTCAAGACGCTGAAAGCCTCACCAGGGACGTACAAGCAGGCATGAGCAGAGGGACCACAGTTTTCATTCAAGACGCTGAAAGCCTTACCAGGGACGTACAAGCAGGCATGAGCAGAGGGACCACAGTTTTCATTCAAGACGCTGAAAGCCTTACCAGGGACGTACAAGCAGGCATGAGCAGAGGGACCACCTGACTCGACACAACTAGGCTTTTGAGACGTTCCAAACAAAGCTGTGAGACGTCTCAAAAGCAATGGGACCACCTGACCCGACCCAACTTGGTTATCGAGATGTCTCAAAACAAAGTTTTGAGGCCGGAAAGCGAGCTTCGCTTGAATCCCACCCTCCCACTTTTCCTCTCCCCCCTTTCTTGCTTTACCTCCCCAGTGTCTCCCTCAACCCACACGGTGATCTGCAAGCCGATGCCACGGAGGTGCTCAACGCGGTGAACGCATGCTAAGACACTCCTTTTCTCCCCTCCGCCCCTTCTTCTCCCCAGGGTCTCCCTCAACCCACACGGTGATCTGCAAGCCGATGCCACGGAGGTGCTCAATGTGGTGAATGCCACGGCCATGCGGGTTGGCTTCTGGACTCCTGCTTGGCAGCTCACGCCCTCTTTGAAGGTGTGCTGCAGTGGGGTGTAATGCGGTGCGGAGTGGCATGATCTGGTGTGGTGTGATGCCACGGAGGTGCTCAACGTGATGAATGCCACGGCCGTGCGGGCTGGCTTCTGGACTCCTGTCTGGCAGCTCACGCACTCTCTCAAGGTGCAATGTGGTGTGGTGTAGTGCAATGAGGTGTGGCGTGATGTGGTATGGTGTGGTGTGCTCAACCATGCCGTGCCAGGCTCAGTCATGCCGTGCCATGCTCAGTCATGACGTGTCCAAATCAACCATTCATTCTTCTGCTATTCGAGTCTCAACCGTCCCTGCTCCTTGCCTCTCCTCCTGTACTCCCTTTCTCCGCCCTCCTCCTCAGCCCTCCTACTCTCCTGCTCTCCTGCTCACCTACTCTCCTTCCCTTGTCTATTTCAGCAGCCATCCAAGAACCAGCAAGAGGCACTCAACATAGTGTTTCCGGGTGGGGTGACACAAGTGAGTCTGAGTCAAATGCATGTACTAGTAAATGTAATCATGCATGTCCGTTTAAACGTGAT